CAACCGAAAGCACCAAATTGATTCTTTCAATTGCTTTCGCATGGTAACAAAAACACTTTACACATACACACACACATATATATATAACTCAAGAATTATATTTTTAACTAACTATTTATTTTTTAAACTTATAATACTTTTCTACTAGATATGTTTTCATGTTTTTATTCCTAAAAATCTTGCAACAAATATACGCTATCAAACATACTTTCGAATAGCATTAAACACATTTTAAAGCAAAAACATTTTTTTCTGTTTCGAGTCAAAACAAAAACACAAAACAACTGTAATTTCTAAACGAGTATAAGAGACTTAATTGCTACAAAAGACTTGTAATGCAATAATATCTCCAACCTTTTAAAGTGGAAGACCATGGTTCCAAATGGGGTGCGTAAGTAGTCATGCGGTTTGAGAGTCCTAAGGATCAATTTAGTTGTCTCCTTAATTTGAATTTATCATTCAATTTCTACCAAATATTCAAAAGAATATATTTAACATTCCAGAGACTTAGACTAATGTTAAGTGAAAATTAGATTCGTTTCTACTTTTTGAGTAGAATTTAGTAAATTTCTCAAGCATTCAAATAAATCCAAAACTCGTCCTTTTCCCCTAAAAATAAGGTCAAAGATTTCTCTCAAATTAACAAGTAAATGAAAAGGATTATGCAAAATAAGACATCCATCACTTTTCAATCAAAGGACAAAAATATTGTTTATCCTTTTCCTTCTCTCCCTCTACTGTATGGATCAAAAGTGAGTCCCACCACAGAAATTTTTTATAATATCTCAATTTATTTGGATGTAAAATAATTTTCAAAAATGATTTTATCCTTCTAATATTTAAATTTTATTATATTATTATTGATTTGACCTTCCAATTTCTTATTTATTTATTTTTTATCCTTATTGAGAGACCGTACGTATTAATCTATACCTTTCAAATGTTTGAACTTCAACAGATAATAACTCACTCGTAAAAGTTTTGATCAATTCATTAAGAAATTAAAGCACCACAACCATTCCGAATCTCTATCAAAACAATTTGCAGAGATTTGCAATATTTTTCATTTTCTATCAAATATTCGAAAGAGAAAATGAGACTAAAGTGAATGGTATGTGCTCCACTCTCTCGGAGAAATGTTAAAAGATTGAAATAGTTCGAAGGTATATAGACAGTACACCACCGTTTGATCATTTAGCCTAAAAATGAGTCTTTGACTGAAAAAACATAAAATACAAAGGGAACTCCCTAACCTCAAAAGTAAGGCAAAAGATAATTTTCAACTCCCCCCTCCACATTTGAAGAGCAAAAAAAAAAAGTAAAGTTGTGTTTGTTTCGAAATAAAGTATTTTCTTCAAAAAATATTTATCTTTTTTAGATAAAATAATTTTTTATTTTATTTATTCAGTGTTTGGTAAAGGTTTAGGTTAAAGTTGAGGTCGAGGTCTAATCCGTCGGATATGACATGTAAAATAACTTACTGAAAATTAATGGATAAGTTATATATGTTAGATTTTACTATTTATTTTCCATATTCTCTAAACAACATTTTATTAAAATGATAAATTATCTTTTTATATTGTGTTCCATATTCTGTAATAAAATATAAAGTTGTCCAACAGAAGAGGCCGGGTTACAGTGTTTGTATAGAGAATTGTGTAGTGTTTTGGAGGGTTTTAGAAAATTGTATTAATATGCAGGGTATGAAATATTGTAGAAGAGTAGAGGTACAATCCATCCCAACAATCTTAGGGGAAGATGATTATATAAGAGGTAGAATTTTGGGACAAGTCTGATAGTAGAGTTGGTCGTTAGAGTGAGAGTCAGACTCGGAGTGTGAGTGCCGTACTTATTTCTTTAAATAGTGAGGATATGTGAGCGTGGATGTTAGGTTTACTAAAATTGGGTGTGATATTCGTGGTGCTGGTAAAAATTAAAAAATAAAAAAAAATTAAATAACCAGATTATAATTGCCACAGATTTATGTGTTAGATGTCAATCAATGAATAGAAGAATTTCTTTACTTACCGTCTCAAAAGAATTATGAAGTTGAGCAGGAATTAGAAATGAGAACCCTAATAATAAACGAATGGTTAATTTTATAAGTTTGCAATTTTTTTTAATTATGTTTGTTTATTTGTTTGTTTGTTTATTTATTTTTTCTTCAAATTACTAATTAATCTTATTTTTTAAAATTAAATTCTAAAATTTTTTGTATTAATATTCCCTATCATGTACGTGGCTATTGTGATGTCATGCAGTATTTAATTTTGTTACATTTGATTCTGATGCTCTAAAATAAAAAAAAAACATCGACTCCTCATAGAAATTCTTTGGAAGTAGCAAATTATTATTGATATTTAAAATGAAAACTGACAATTTCGTGGATGAGTGACGTTGAGTGTGGCTAACTAATATAACTATTAGCTCACATCCAAACTCCAACTCTCACCTTTTATTACCAGTCTACCACTATAAGTTACTAAACCTGAGTTATATTACATGGTGGTAGAGATGAATGGTATTTTTATTTTCTATATATATTTTTTTATGTTACAGTACCTTTTTGTATGGACCATTCTTTGGATGTAATACTTTATGAGCTGACATTAATTTTGACAGTATTAGTTATGAACATTCTGATTTGAGATAATTTCACTATTTTTGTTTACTTGATTTAGGGGCGGAATTATTAAAGGCTAATTTGGACTATAGTCCAGGTCCAAAAAACCAAAAACAAAAATTTAATATTACTATACAATAATTTACAGTTCGATCCATATACAATATTATTCTTTTTCTTAACTCAATCCACTTTGCAATCTTGACTCCGTCCCAACTTGATTCAAAGCTCTCTTGGCCTCTTTTTTTTATTTTCTTTTTAAAGTAAAATCAAAGTTCTTTGTTTCTCTTTGGATATGTTATATAATAATGTCCTTGTTCCAAACATATATATACACACACACACATATATATATAATACATTATTTTGTTAAATTAATCATATTTCTTGTACATTTCACGTGTTACAATTTGCCTTCTACTTCAGGAATTATTATCCTTTTTATATATATATAAAATTTCAAACATTTCATATTAATGAAGCTTAGTTTTCACGCCTTTGTCCTTGACTGAACATTTAGTTCCTTAAATGACATTGGGCCTGTTTTGCTGAGAGAGCCTGGTTTTAAAATCCCTCTTATAAAAATAGCCCAAAAGAAAATGATTTTTTTTTTTGAACATTTTAAAATTTTGATTAGTAGGAAAAAGAAAACTTCGAGAAAAATCACTTTTCATAACCACCTAATTTTCCTACAAAATTTTCTTTCAAAAAACACAAGAAAATTTTGATCCCTTGAGAAAATTTTGTGAACTTACAATATTCTCCTTTCTTTTATGGTAAGTTATATGCTACTCAAAGCATAAAATAGTAATTTTACATACAGTAATTTTTTTTGCAAAATTTCATACTAACCAAATTGATATTGAAAATTTAATTTTCTTTCACTTGACTTTCTTTAAGTGTCTGCCAATAGTTTCTGTCTAACCAGACAGGTTTTTTAAAAATCCGAGTTTTGATGTAAAATTGAATGAGACAAGCCTAAAAAAAAGATAGTATCAGTTAGATGGCATAATGAAAATAAGAGATAATGTAACACCTCATTTTATTTAGTTGAAAATAAAGGAAATGGAGTTTTTATAATTTTGCACGGTCAAAAATTGTATTTTATATTTATAAATTAATTTTTCTATCTTTCTCTAATCTCTTCTGCCCAATCGTGGTCAGTTCGGTTGTTCCTTAAATTGAATAGATATTTAATTTTCTATCATATAGTATTTGAAAGAAGATATTTAACATCCTTTGCTGAGAATAGTGAAAATGAGACTGAAGTGAATAATATGAACTCCACCTTCTCAGAGGAAATGTTGAGTTAAAATTTATACAACACCATCTTTTGAATGGAATAACAAAAAAAAAAAAAAAACATGAAACAGATCCAAAATTAATTACTCCCTCTACCAATAGAGTTTACCAATTTTTATTCCCAAAGATCAAAAAAAATCATGAAACATCATTATAACAATCTTTGAAAGCCACAGCACTCTTTTATTTACTCCATAAAAAATAAAAAATAAAAACCCCTATTAAATAATTTTTTTATAGATCATAACTCTGAATTTGAATTCCTTTAAGCCTATTTCCAAAAAAAGTTGCCGTCTAGAAAAAAAAATTATTAGATAGTTCTGATTTATTTGACAATTGTTACATTAATCCAATGAAAGCTCACCTGTTGGTCATTTTTTTAATTCGAAAGTTTAGATTTAACTTAATCCACCATGTCAATAGACCAAAATTATTTAATAATTTCTCAACTAGTACATGTGATATGAGAAGGTATACGTACAACTATGACATGAAGTACCCAACAGTGAAATTATACATGTATAACATGACATGATGTACCCAACAGTGAATTATAACACAGCCATTGTCCATAAAAAACAAAGGGAACTTCCTAGCCCCAAAGTAAGGTAAAAGATCAATTTTCCTCTCTCCCCTAGCTTGGAGAGAGATATTAACAAAGTCAATGAAAAGGATTTAGTGAGACAAAATGAGAAATACATCCACTTTCCGTTTTCTTTATTCTCACCTTTCAATCAAAGGACATAAATATGGACCAAAAGTGTTTCCAACGAACTAATACTTCACAATGTTGTAATGAAGGAAGACATTTTTAATGATTCAGTACCAAAATTTAATAGAATTAGTGGGGGCAATCATGGAACTTAAATTAATGTTGCCTCATTGACTTTCTCATCTTCGAAATTTGAATATGTTCATTATAATTGGACATTACATTAAAAGTAAATCCATATGATATCAATAACTCTGTTCCCACAAAAACTCCATCATACGTTTGAATTTACAATTTTACATGTAAAAATTGAAGACATTCCACAATTCTCAATTCAACAGATGTCACTCTTTAAGAACATGTTGCAGTACCATGTACACACACACACACACACAAATTTATTACCACATATTAGTAAGTTAATAGACTGAAAACAGACATGTGTGAAAGGGCACATTGATATATCAAGGATAAATCTAATTTGTTTTCTCATCAACTAGAACATAATATTTACATCAAAAGTTTCAAGAAACTACGTATTTCCCCATTTAATGTGTCACCAAAAACAAACATTCCAACCCCTTCAACTTTCACTCACTTGCCTTCTAACACACTCACTATTTAAAAACCTACGATCTACAAACATTAATTAAAACAAAAATAAAATAAAGAAAAGGGGAAAGGTATGTTTGGCTAGTTACTTTAGTTAGGGTCTTGTTGGCCCTTTTCTAACTAATATTTGTTTTTTGTTTTTGTTTTTTCTTCTTCTAAGCAACAACTTGGCCACAAGACAGAGCCATCAACAAAACAGCAGCTTCCTCCTCTTCTCCCAACTTCCTACTACTTTGTCTCTTCATTGGAGATCTTGGCCTCTGCAACATCACCACCTCTTTGCCAAAACTCATCAATCTCACCCTCAAAGTCTCCCTCAGTTTACCACCCTTAGCACTTCCACTACTAGCCTTGGCGGAGGTGGTGGTGGTGGTGGCGGTGGCGGTAGTGGTGGGTTTTTCTTTCCTCTTCTCTGACCCTTTGGTCACACCCAACCCAGCATTCCTTTTCTTCCTATACTTAATCCCACAAGCATTACACAGAGACTGAACAAGCCAACAAAAAAAAAAAAAAAAAAAAAAAAACCCCAAAAAGTTGATTAAAAAGACAAATAATAAAAGTGATTCAAATGAAAAAAAAAAAAAAAAAAAAAATCAAGGATAATCCAGTAAGATCAAATGGGTGGCGGTGGTTCACCTTGGGCCCAGCTGGACCACTCCTCCATAAGGGTGTCTTGGTGGTCTTGCAATCACCACAACATTTCTTGATCTCATTTGTTTCTACAGCCAATGATTCCTAAATCATCAAAACGGAATCAATCAACAAAAACCCATCATTGTATCACTCAAATCAGAAGCAATGATGAAATGGGTATTGATTAAAAACACATATTCAAAGCCTATGAGTGATTCTAAAATCATCAGAACAAGTTCAACAAACAAAATCAGAAGCGATGATGAAATGGGTATGGATTTAAAACACATATTCAAAGCTTCTGAGAAAATTTCCAAAATCATCAGAACAAGATCAACAAACAGAACCCATCACTGTATCACTCAAATCAGAGGCAATGATGAAATGGGTACTGATTAAAAACACATATTCAGAGCTTATGATGATGTATATACTCTGTACTCACCTTTTGGCTTTGATCCAGAACCTCCATTGCCTTTCCAAAAGTAACCCAGAACAGAGACTCTATGAATCTTATCAAACAGAGTGATGAACTAGTGGGTTTTGAAGGCTACAGACATACGATCTGAAAATCTGAAAACCCTAATCATATCTCGAAAAGAACAGAGATATAGAGTGAGAAATGGAGGAAACAAAACAGAAGATCTATGTGATATATGGTGAAACAGAGATTTGCATTGAAGAAAGAGATCTGATGAACAAAACCCAGAGGAGAGAGCTAGTAAGCCAGAGCAGCTGTATCATAGAGAGGATCAGATATAAAGAGGGAAAATGTAGAGAGAGAAAGAGATCAAAGAGAGAGAGGTGGCAGGAGTCAGTCGTTGTTGCCTCAACTTAATAAAAGGACCGACAGAGATTAAGAGAGAGAGAGAGAGACCGACATGCTGCTGCTATGCTGGGTGGACTGGATCACCGAATGCAAAACCCTAACCCTAAGTGAAATGACTGAAATGTCCTGTACCAAAATCTTGTGACGTGTCACCCGCCAAAATTGTAAAATTAAAATTTAAAAGAGACACCGTCACGTGTCGACATGCACGGGTTAGTAGTATATTTTTCTATAATAGTTAGACTTTTCAAAAGAGATGTCATAATTTCATAAAGTTTCCATTATAATAACATCTTTAGTAGCTTACCTTTTTAACCACAAAAAAAAAAAAAAAAAAAACCCATTACTATTTTTCTCATAGGAAGTAAAATGATATTTGAGATATAATAATGTAGCATGATGGTATTTTTTCAACTATTCAAAGTGATAGTAAGAGTTCAAATATTTATAAGGATGAAATGAGATCTCGTTTAAAGTTTGAATCTAATTAATTCATTATATAAACAAGTTAAAGTTAGAATTCGGTTATTGAACTCATTTAATAAACGAATCAATCTCAAACTTGGTTAAATTCAACTTATGCAGGTTCATGAATATTAAACTTGGGTAGGCTCGTATGTGTTTACGAATACGTTCGTGAAGGTTCATAAATGTTCTTAACAAATCAAAGTGATCTCGAAGACGAATTCAAACGAACCCCAAACACAAATATAATATTGTTTATTATTATTATTATGATTATTATGAGTAGAGCCAAGTCCAAGCTTAATTTTTCGGGTTTGTCATGAATTTAAACAAGTTAAGGCCAAATGGATTGAAGTTCAGAACGATTCATTTGTAGTCCTAATAAATATTTGATTACATTTTGGAACAATTGGATCGGTCCCTTGAATTTGAAATTAAAATAAATTTAGTTAAAATTTTAAACTAAATTTATTCCAATTCCAAGCTTAAGGCACCGATTCAGTGATACAAATTGCCGAGTGCAACATAAGCGTATCAAAATCCTTAATATTCGCAATTCATAATGTTCGTATGGCTGTTCTATTTTAGGTCTCATATGTCATTTCATCACCCATTTAATCAAGAGATAGAAAGAATTCACAATCAATCCAAGTCCAGGTACAAGAAAATTCCTACATTACCCCCACTTTGGATGACATCAATTTTTTAAACTTGTAACTTATAAGCATTTTTTTCTTTTCTTTTTTTGTGCAAAGTGCGAGCGAGTGTAAGAATGAAATATATATATATATATGTGTGTGTGTATATATATATATATATAGAGAGAGAGAGAGAGAAATTGTCTAGGAGAAGAGACAAAAAGGCCCCAAAAGTTGAACAAAAAGGTCCACAAAAAAGCAATCACATTCCACCCTCCCACTTTTGTTATGTTTGTAGTGGAAACAGAACAACGGAATGAGCTACAAAAAGGCCTGAAGAAGATGTGGTGGTCTGCAGATGTGATGGCTCTCCATTGTTACTTAAATGGTTATCATGGGGTTGTGTTCTGCTTTTCAATTTTCCCAGGCTTCACACCATTTCAATCAATAAAATTTACATATCAAAAGCTGAGCCTTCAAAATCTCTCTCTCTCTCTCTCTCTCTCTATTCTCTATATGAAAGAGAGTGTGCAGGATGATTCAGAGAAGAAAGGCTGCAGCTTGCTCACATGAGATTATGTCACAATATTGGCTTCCCAAGTAAATAAGATGTGCTAAGCTAGTCCATTCAAGTAAGGCACAAAAGCTATAAAAACTTTGAGAGTAAATTGTTGTGACTAAATAAGAATGAACGTTTGGTTCCCTAATCTGAACAGAAATTTTCAAAAATTTAAAATTAAAATTTATAATACAATTTTTCAAATAATTATAAAAAAATATTTGCTTAAACTGAATTTCAAGTTTACGAATTGCTCATTACGAACTTAAATCACTCACCTCTTCTTGAAACTGGTTTGATATTTTTAAGTTGTGTCCATCTTACTTAAGAGGTGCGTATTGATTCTATAATTATTTAAATAAATTTCATCTACGTTAACTCTATCTATTTGGAAAAGTAAAATGATAAACTTGATTTTATAATATTTCCAAATCAAAGAGATTGTTGAGAATAGAAATCAGTTTTTCCGAAAAAAAAAAATCGTGCTATGCCCAGATCACAAAACCGGACAATTCTTCCATTTTATTATTATCTAAAGAAAACAAACATAGTTAATAATAATAACTCAATGATAAATTTTTAACAGAGTTAATTGCAATCTTATATTTAAATACTTTCCCATTCAAATCTTGAAAAGAGAATCGAAGACTTTTAACTTTGGCATGGCTGCATATTTAAATGATAAACAATCGAATATAATAATCTTGTCTGAGTCTTCCAGCAGTCTCCAATGCCAAAAACTCCACACACACACACACACATATCTTATTTACACAACCCCAGACAAATTATTTAGAAAACAAGGAATACCCATACTCATTTTCCATTAAAAAGAAAACTCAAAATAAATTTCCAGAACAAAACCCCTCAGAAAATTAAAGCCATATTTGGGAGCACGATTAAAATGGAAAGAAATTTAGTTCAAAATTTTAATTAAATTTCCTCCAAATCTACTCTCCTCCTTTTTTCAGTATGCATGTACACCAGTAACGGTCATTCTATTTCTCTATCAAATTCTCATTCAGCAAAACTATGCTGATGAATGCTCAAGCTCTTCTTGTTATGTCCTCTCCACCCATTATCTACACCCATTATCTACTACTTCACGGCGTTAACCAAAATGCCGTTGGAGTATAGAGATGAAGCAGAGAAATGTCAATAATCTTAAGCAAACTTGTTCTCAAACTAACAGATTCAGCAAATTCAAAAGAGCGACTTTCAAACATATCCATTTCGCCATTGATATTACCAATCAATCAAAATTATCAGCAAGGGCACACAAAATGTATCTATAAGACTAGTCATTCCTTTTACTTCAATAAGGATTTTGATAGCTATCTGTTGTTTACAGTTATAAACAATATTCCCTATAACCAAAAAGAAAAGAAAAAACAGATGCTCGCGAGACATTTACAAGAAAAAGAAAATGATATTCTCTCGGAGCAAATGCAAAATTCTCAAGATCCTCGTAACTAAAAGCTGGGCAGGATAAAGTTTTTCCGGAAATTAACCCAGCCACAGTTAGAATAAAGGGAATTCTACTAATGACTACGAGGACAATAGCAATTAAAAAGACTCAACCATTTACACTGTGGAACCCTAGAAAAGACTAAATCCAGATAGTTTACCTCAGCAACTCAAAGAAACCCGAGCCAGTTCAGCAACCTCTTCAATGACCTAACACGCAGCAATTTCCCAGATAAAATTGTGTAAACCGGTACTATCAAAAAGTGATATCTGAGGTACCAAGAGAATACATACCTTCAGTCGAACTTGAAGCCGCTGGAAGGATCTGGCAGCACTGTCTCAAAATCACCTTCCTCCTCCTCCCAATATGTCGTAAGAATCATTACTGCCTTCTCATAAATCTCATTGTTGTCATGATTTTGAAGATCCTCAATTTTTTCCAACTCCTCATTGTCTTCAATCATTTCAACATAGAGATTAACACCTCCAGTAAGATCCTGATTCTTCTCATCTTCTCCAACCTTCAAGATGTTTTCAAGCGCATCCAAACAGACACTCACAATCCTCGGGTCAGAACAAGCAAGAAGATCGCACAATGGCTTGACACACCCTTGACTCGCTAGGTACCTGTCACCAACAAATAGAATTAAACCTTTGTATTGAAATATGCAATAATACCATTAATAACAGTAAACAAAATCTGTACGTGAATATCATACTTTATTTGTTCATGAGTGGCTCCAGTGGTAGCATTCAAGATTGCCCATGCAGCTTCCTTCTTGATATCAAACTCCGCATTTTGAAGCAGATGGATCAGAGGACCAATAATATTAGCCTCAATCACAGCCTGCAGAATTTCAAAAATTATCCATAATGAATAACAATGAGAAATAACAAAATAAAACAGTTTCTTATACACAACCAGTTTCAATTATATAAACAAATCAATGCCAAAAATTTGGACAACAAGATGACGCTTAAAAGAGATTCATAAATCTGTTGCTTACCTGAATCTGCTTCTTGTTGCCAGCAGTGATGTTTGAGATGGTCCAACAAGCTTCCTTCTTAATGTTCTTCTTGTAATTACTTGTCAACAGATTCAGAAGACGGGGTAGCGCTTGATGGTTGATGATAAACTGGAGGAATTGAAAGAAAAATCAATTAGCTTGGACGGAAACTTCACCAATCATAAAAATGAATAATTCACTGAAATTGACCAACGAAAAAAGTAGAATCATAGAATCACCTAAGTTTCTTAGATTAGCATCCTATATTAGATCAATGGAAGGAAACATGAGATGAAATTGTAGAATTGGATTGAAGATTGTAAATCTTATAAAATAAATAGGAAAAAGGGCAACTATATGTATAGACAAAGAAATCTTAACATAGACCCAGCACAAGCCTAAGACATAAAATATATAGAATTTTTATTCCAAACATATGGAATGTGACTCAAGTAAAGTGAGAATGTAGCTCAAAAGGCATATATCCCGACATTGCAACATAAAAGCTGTAAGGTTGTGCATAGGAATTCAAGTTCAAAACTTTACGTTATCATTTTTTTCTCTTACGAAAATCCAGATACCAAAGTTACTTTTCAACAAAAAGAAATCAAGATAATCTTAGTTTTTCCACAATCAACCAAATACTAATTTACTATGACATAACAACCAACACTTAATTATGAAATGCTAATTATATGAACTCTGATCACATGAAGATTCTACAGTATATGATCATATCCCTTTGCTATTTTTATATGATCAGAATCATTTAATAATTTTAGATCGTACAATTTTGCAATCCTAATTGAGATTTGATAACCATAAAAATAAACATAGTCAGAATCATAAATGTTATGACAAACGCAACAAACCCAAGTTGAATCAAGAATCATGATAGAAAAGTAAACACGCCACACAAAGATTTGTACGTGGTTTGGTAACAGCCTACATCCACAGTTGGGATCCGGCGAAAGTTTTCACTATGTGGCAAATTGGATATTACAAGTTTTCAGCCCGTCATTTCAAGAAAAAGGGCACCACATGGTTTCTCAGTTGAATTGTTTCCAATCAACAGGGCTTGGAAATTGACGTGCATCCATTCATATGAACTAGCAATTGTAATGCTGATCGCCTATGGTGCTTACCTTATCTTCCAGTTGGCAACTCACCGACAATTCTTTGAAGCAGAAGAGGTGATATATATATCTATATCATCCTTGAGTCACTATTTGATGGCACATTGTATTTTAAAGGACTCTTGATAACAATGCTGTTACAAATTACAATACAGTAGTTAAGTTGTATTGCGACTTTATAATGGATGGCTTAGTTAATGATCTTTCTGTTTCTGTACGAATTTCAGAGTCTCTCTCTACCTCCACTCCAAACCCTAAGTGCCTTTATATATTGGGCTACAAGAGACTAATTAGGGTCCACAACCAATGAGCAAAAAACGGGTCCGAAAATTTTCCGGGCTTGGGCCCACCAAAGCTCATTCAACGGGTCGTCGGGTTTTAAGTAGGTCGCAATGCGACCTGGCACCAAATTCGGGCCACAATATCACAATAAAAATTTAAAAAAATTACAGCCTAGCAACTTATAATTAATAGGATTTTAATAAGGCAATAGTCCAAATATTAAAATAAACACTATCAGAATTCAAAAATAAAAAACCAGCCTAGCGAATCACCAAATGTTGGTTTGTGCATGTCTAAACTAGTCCCCATGATTTTTGACAGTTTGGGTTCTTCACGTAAAACGTGAGTAAAGGAAATTGACAATAAAAGGGTCTAAAAGAGAATTCAAATATCAATTCTCACAACTAACAGAATTTCAAATAAGAATCAAGGGAAATTCAAAAAGTTAGTTAAGTGCAAAAACAATACCCGTAAGACTAAGACCTAAGCAACCCCCCTAAAGCACCTTTTGTACTCTGACATATCAAAGCCTCGAGTAAAGGTCTCACAAACCATCACTATTTCAAAATTTTCAACATGGAAACCAACCTCAAGAACTTTTAAGTTCCACAACCTCACAAACCTCTTTCCCCCCATGCACATAATTTATGAAACTTCAGCATCTTATCACCTTTCAATAAAAACTTCAGCAATTTCTCATCTCTGAAGCCTACCAGGCTACCACTTTATAGACTAAACCTATAATTTAACCATTTCAACAATCTACCAATGTTACATGAACTCGGGCAGTGTGTCGGGTGCAGATATATATCCGCATTGGATGTGTCAAATGCCCAAACAAAAAGACACGTGGAAACTGCTAAATATTTATATTATTTAATAATCTTATTTTATTTTTTTGAGGTAAAATAAGGTCTTTATGTAACATGCATGGTTGTGCAATATTGGCATTTCACTCATTTTGAAGCAATAATCTAATAAAATTTAATTACTAGACATGGTTTTTAGGTACATGTCCAACCAAAAGTGTCGAACACATACCCATACCCATGTCCGAGCACACATAGCAATGAATCAAGATAACAGAAAATTCAAGTGAATTTCAAAATCGATAATGGAATGAGAGTGCCAAAAAAAAAAAAAAAAAAAACAGCGAAAGTAATCATAAAAGGATAACTTAAAGTAAAAATATTAAAGATCCTTACAAGAGATATGAATTACCCATCCTCAATGGGGATTTTTTCAGCGCGTGATATATATTTTCTTCTTACAGTAGGCCTAACTATTTTCAATATAAAAGCAATGACTCAACAACACCAAACTGTTGATTGGGCTATAATAAATGGTGTTATTCAACACCTCAATCGGTATCAACCAATCACCCAAATGTAAATTAGAGCCACTGATATAACTCCTGACTTACGGTAAACCTAATTAGTTCAGACATGAAGCAATAACTTGACAAAATTAAACTATCCATCAAGCTCTAGTTTTGTCTGTGCTTCAGTTGTCAGATGCAGAAGCAGTATTGGAGGATGCAATTAAAAGGAGCCAATAAAAGAATTATGACTCAAAAGTAGTACATGCTACGACAAGAATGCCCTGGTTATGTTCCATAAAATCAAACAAATTCAAGAAATCTACAATTAGAGCAACTAACTTGTTCATGTTTGAGCATATGTTATTCACATAAATCATGACATATAACCTTAAGCATGAAAAGATAATCACATGATTTTTAGTGACAAAAACAAACAAAACCCCATTCTTTAAATTAACCCCAAAATATAAAGTTAAAATGAAAAAGAAATTGATAAATAAATGATAAAAAGATAACATGTTCCAGATGTCCTGCACCTGAGTTTGCGTATCATTTCCAGTGACAATGTTTCCAACTGTACGAAGAGCAGGAATGATCACCGAGGGAGAAGGATGACTGAAAATTCCCAAATAAAGAAAATATCAGTTTTAGGATGCATAACAACTAGCAGGAAACCCCAAAACAATATAAAACTAAATAAAATTCTTACCGCAAAAGCTCAACTAGCTGGGGGCACATCCCCGCATCAATAACAGCTTGAATTATATCATTTGTACCATCCGAAAGATATGAGAGAGCCCAGCATGCATCACACAACACTTCTTCATCGTCTGAGTCAATAAGACGCTGAAGAGCTAGAAGTGCAGGTTTTGTCTGTGCAATATTTTTAAAGACAGAAGTAAGAAATTTCATATTTAAAATCATAATGTCAGAAAGCTGTCTATGAGTGATACATGTGAAGTAAAAATAGTTAGAAAATATATAATAGCATGTGGTTTAATTAAGATTAAGGCGTCACAGCAGAGTGGCAAAACAAGATTAATGTAGCCAACCAAACAATTGAGAAAAGGCTTTATTAATTAAGCTGAGTACCGTAGTTACATCAAATTATAAGTTTTCCAAAAACTACTCCCATACAAAATTTATTCTGTAAACTATAAAAGTTGCTTAATTGGATGAACCACAGAGCAACCCACTGTCTATCATGATCTGACATGTAAGTACCAAAAACACAAGATAGAAGTGGAAACAGCAGGTCAGCGAGAACAACCTGATAAAAGGCAGGCTGTGGTTTGCCCCTACATAGATTTGAAATCGTCCAGGTAGCATTTCTCAGCATAGAAAGCTCGGCATGCTCATTAATTTGTGCCAGCAACGGAAGCAATGCATCATGGCCAAGGACAAGGTCACGACACATTGGGGAATCACCAGCAACATTTCCCAAGGCCCATACAACCTACATGTCCACATGGAGAAGGAACCACACACATTATTTGTATTGCAAAAGGAAAACTATCTTACAGTTAAATTTGATTATAATTCGATGCATTACCAAAAAGCAAGAAAATAAACCAACGGTGATGAGAGAAGAAGATAGTAGCAATTATAATATTTAAATAAGCAAGAGGCTATCTTCTCTCACAATTACGTACCTGCTCACGAATTTCATCCCTAGGAGAGCCTAGAAGTTTTACAAATAGTGGGATGGCCCCGTGATCAATTACCACCTTCGTATTCTCGGATGTGCCAGAAGCAATGTTTGTGAGGGACCAAGCCGCCTCAAACTACAGAAAACAGTATAGATTGTAAACATACAATCACATCTATACAAACATAAAAAGAAAGGTCGGATAACGGATTATATCATGCCAGACCTGAAGCTGAGGGAAGTCATTCCTTGTAAGAAACTTAACAAAATGTGGCACAACACCAGATTTAATAACTTCTTCAATTGGGGGACAGCATTCTGATAAAACACTACTGTTAAGATTCATCTCCTAACCATAAAACACGAAAAAAAGCATGCAAAAGAACGTAATGCACTATATAAGGACCAATTATCACCTATTGATAGCAATTTCCTGAATTGAGTAGTCATCTGGAGCTGCAGATCGAAATCATTGGAAAAAACACCCGAAACCATTGCAGGTAGTTGTTCCAACTGCAACAAAAATAACCATTTACAATTCACAAGTTGGAGAGAAACACCGAATATTTCCAAACAGGCTAAGTTACAGCAACAATTAACTCAACAAACCCTCAATATGACAAAATAATTAATTGAAAGAGGGAGAGGGAGAGGGAGAGAATTAAAATTTGGCGCAATTGCTTATATTAAGTTATTTAACAAACTCTTTAAGTGCTATACTTAGTAGTCACATATAACAGTGACAGTAAAGATTCAATTTAGACGAACAACAGTAATAGCGTGCATAATGAACCTCCAGATCCCAATTCATAAATATCAATCAGTACAATTGATTCAACAGCATAGACTCTAAACCTAATTCATTATCAAAAGTAAAACCTATACCTATATATACATTTATATATTTATATCAACCAATCATTACAACTGATTATACATACCAATCATTACAAGTTACAACTGATTAAACAGCATAGACTCTAAATCTCTCAAATTCTAAAATATATACATACACACACACAATTATATATATGGTGTGAATACTGAACCTCGTGATCACAAATACCAATCAGAACAACTGATTCAACAGTATAGACTTAGGCCTCTCAAATTCTGACCAGAATATATATATATATATATATATATATATAGAGTGAATACTGAACCACAATTACCAATCGGGACAACTGATTCAACAGCAGACTCTAAACCTCTCAAATTCTAACCAGCGTGAATGCTGAACCTTGTGACCACAAATGCCAATTAGTACAACTGATTCAACAGCGTAGACTCTAAATCTCTCAAATTCTAACCAGAACTTATATATATAGATATGTACGAAAAAATGTAACGAGTCCGATAGAATTCTACAGGTTTTTGAAGGCTAAAAAGATGAATTCAATACTGTTACCATCTTCTCCATGGCAGAGACATTTTCCACCGCGGCAATGAACGGCTGTAAATTGGCTTGAAGCCCCTGCCGTCGCTTCTTCTGCAAGCTCTCTTCTCTTCGGTTCTTTCGAATCTCCACCATGTCGTCTTCTCTCCGACGACGACCTTCCTCGGCGTCGACGGCGACCTTGTACTTGTTGCGCCGATCCTCGGCTTTCTTCTCCGGTCTCAGCGACATTGTTGAACTGTAACCAGAGTCCAGATTCTAGAGAGAGAAAGAGAAGAGAGAGTAGAGAGAGAGAGAGAGAGAGCGAGCGAACTTGCAACGGAGGGTTTTGGGGGTTTTGATTTGAAACGACTGAAACAAAAACTCTTTGAACGCCAAGACTGAGAATATAAATAGACATCAATCAGGAGTTTTTACACTGGTTTTGAATTTAGTGCTTAATTGGACTTAAATTAGATAATTGTTCATCAGATTTGAATTTGTTGATTACTATCATATTTTGTATCATCATATTTGTCAAAGTGATCACTCAACTTGTCATAAATTTCATTTGCCTTTTTTTTTTTTATTTTTTATTTATTTATTTATTTTTAATAACAGTTATTCACAATAATAATTGTATAATTTTACATATTAATAAATGAATGAAAAGTTTTTTTTGTCAGTGAATGAATTCTTTTTATTAATCAATCTGCAACCTTAAAAACTAAATTAAATTATAATTGTGTCTTTCTCAACTTTACAAATAAATCACTAATTTTTATATCTAGAATTTTTTAACTAATAATAACACTTGGGTTGACATGTCTCAAAACTTATGATTCCGATTTAAGATGAACAATAAATAAAAATAAATAAATAAAAATCAATCCAACAACTTGATCCAATTGCATAAATGACAAAATTATTTCACAACAAAAGCAATAAGAAAAAAAATTGAATACAACAAAATTAGCATATCATAAGAAACAAAACATCATTAAACCAACAACTTTTGATAAACAACACATCATTAAACCAACAATATCCCCTAATCTAATGAATTTATTTTCTTTTTAATTTTAGGGTAAATTACACCAATCTTCTCTAATAGATTAATAAAAATAATATTCTAACACGACCCCACCCAATCATAAAATATTAATCGAGCTGGTGTCATGTCCTTAAAAAATTTGAAAAAATATTTTTGTTCATATGCTATAATGATAAATAATATAAATATAATAAGTACAATTGTCATTTAATATTAACATATTAAAGTACCAGAATTTCTTCTAGTGCAACAATGACATACTCCTCCTCCTCCTCCTCATCTTCCGGACTGTCTTCCTCGGCTTGCTGCAAGTAACAAAAAGCACGTCCAAGTTGTGAAAAATCACAAAGCGTAACAAAAATCACAACTTAAACTCGTAAGTTTTTTTTTTTTGCACGAAACTAAAGAAAAGTTAATTACACAAGCTTTGTGAATCCAATCCTCGCAATCCTTTGGTTGGGTTGCTCTCTGTAGTTTTTTTTTTTTTTTTTTTTTCAAAAATTAAAGCAATGCACACCAGTTATGTTTGAGAGCAAATCAATCGGTCACTTAAGATAATTTGTGAGTTATTAATAATCAACCAAAAATAAATTCATCATAGCAAATTGAGAACAAGTTTGAGATAAATGCGTTTGAGATGTTAGGACCATATTAATTATAAAATAAATATCTTAATATATAATTTATTAGTTATAAAATAATATTAAAATAATTATTGAAAGGATCACAATTAGTCATCCATAAATGATCACAATTAGTCATCCATAAATGAGTAGTTAAAACATAAACTAATTAAATGCTATCAAACTTAACATATACTGTAATTTTTTTTTTTTTTTTTTAAAGTAAATCAGAAAAATATGATTCCCAACCCACTATTAACAAGAAACTCACATGCTCCTTGAATACTCAATTTTTTTATTTTAAAAGTCACACTACATGTATCCATCTCTACCAGAACATAAATTCCCGATTTTTTAAGAATTGCAAACGAATAAAAGAATATTAAATATTTTCATACCTCGATAACATATGACTCTTCGTATCTGAGAATTGGTTTCAATTGTCTTTTTTGTGTGTTATTGAACACCTTAAAATCATCATCCTCTTGGCCAAACCTCTTCAAAAAACCAATCACCCTCCTTAAACCCTCCATTGCTCGTTTTTGGACCAACTTCACAATTTCAACAATAAACTAAATACAATTTTTCACCATATATATAATGATAAACATTCAATTGTAGATAAAAATTGACTCTAGTATACTAGTTTGTGTCGAACACTGTTTTTTTATTTTTTTTTATATACCTTTTAGAAAAAACTGATCGTGTTTTTTGCACCATTCTATTGAACAAGGACTCTTGTCGGTATTTAAAAGGAATAGAATATCTCTCTTACATATTTATCTCACAATCATTGGCATTATGTACCGATAGTTAAGTTTTATTATCTTAATTAATTAATATTATTTTAAAAATAAAAGATATATAGAAATTGAACGTGTATCTTGGTAGTAGTACGGATAAGGATTCCAAAATTATTCAAATAAATCATAACTATGCAAAACTCAAATTGAGAACTAAATAAAAATCAATTTTAGCACTGAAAAGGCTAATAAATAATTTTACATAAATTTCCTATTTTGAGTTAAAAAATAAATTATTTTATGCATTTTGTAAGTGTAATTATACTATTAAACAGAAATTACAAAAAACTGAAAACGTAACCAATAATTATTTCTACTGTTAAAAGATTATTTTTGTTATAAAAAAGAAAACAAAAAAGACTTTCACAGCGCAAATTACTTGTATTGCTGAGAACCTTTGCAGTAGGCAAAACAATGGCGATCAATCTCACAACCACCATCAATCTTGCCACGATCCATCTACTCGCGGCTGTGGACCTAGGAACCATTTCCTTATCATTCCCACCGAACTCACCCCTGGCAAATTCCTGGCCATCGATTACCTCAAGGAGCCAGTTTCGGCCGCCACATCGTTTATATTGAATAAAAGCAAGAATAATGATGATGATAATAACATTTTTTTTCCCCTATCCCGATATAAAAAAACCAATCATGCTAGTAATAACTTTACTTAAACCAATTACCAATGACCTAGTAGTATAACCTCTCTTCCTTCAAAGGTCAGTATGAGGTGAGAATTTAAGCCCTAATGAGCTATTTGTGAAACATGTGTGTGAAGACTTACCTAAGCAAAATTAATAAATAAAACTTGAACCAATTTCATAAATCACAAAAGTGCCATAAATTTTAAACTAAAATTTCACAACAATAGCAATTATAAACAACTATAGCCGTGAAATCTTTTTGAAATGTAAAATGTAATCTACATATACTCTTTACAATTAATTTTAATATTTACAGTGAAGATAAAAAAAGAAAAGAAAAGAAAAGAAAAACAGAAAGCCAAAGATAAGAAAGTCAGTTCCTGAGGGCAGCAACATAAAAGGAGACTGGCAGTGGGATTAAAGCTACCTCACTTTAGGGAGATTTATAACAATAGAGGGAAAACAGACACACACACACACATATACATTGAATACGAGGAAAAACAATACATTATACGATCAACAATTTAAATTAATTTCATAAATCATAAAAGTGGCATGGGTTTTAAATGAAACTTTCACAACAAAGATATGAGTAATACGACGTAGATCATGCACAAGGATGGAGCAATGTCACATATTCATAATAGAATTTGCAATTTTTCTAACATAACTGTTCACTTTTGATTTCACTGCAAGTATTAGTACCACTGTTTTCCATTATTTCCATATATCAGCGACACCACAATCACAATTTGCAACCAATTAAACGTGGTGATTATTGATACAACTATTCTATGTCACTTATCAGTATACCTGTGCACCCGTAACAGTCATTCGGTTCATCTCTATCAAATTCTCATTCAGCAAAACTAATATGAACTGCTGTTGGATCGAAAAGTTAGCTCCGAGAAATGTTGATAATCTTCTCAAAAAATCTTCTCCAGAAAAAGTAGTCTGTAAAAAGCAAATGAACAAGGAAATAAAAAATAGCAAGGGCACACAAAATGTATCCATAATACTTGGAACGAAGTGATAAGAAAGGATTTCAAAAAATTAAATCTAGTAGAAGATATGGAATATAATAGAAAAGAGTAGAGAAAGAGAATCCATGTGGCCGGCCCGGTTTGTACAGGATAAAGGCAATGATGATGATGCTGATCCTCCGTTGTTTACGGTTATAGACAATATTCCAGTAACCAAAAAAAAAAAACCGAGCCTGAAGAGACATTTTCAAGATCCTCGTAAACTCTCAAAGCAAATGCTTACAAAAAGGAAATTCTAAAGCTCCTTGTAACTAAAATCTGGGCAGGAATAGAGGTTTTCGCAACATCCGTTCTGTGGAACCCTACAAAATACAAATCATAATTCCAATAAGACAGTATAAAGGAGATGTTGTTTCCTTGTTTTGAACCGGTGACCTCCAGTCACCAAGTCTCGCCCTCATGACACCAGACATAAACCCAATTATTATCCCGCCATATGTAATGAGGACGTCAATGCAAACAGCTTCTCAGAACTGTTGCAGATTTATGATCTACACGCTGAGGACCAAAACATGTAGCAACTTTTCCATGCTAAATTTGAAATACTAAGAACATTAAAAAATCATACACCATCCAGAACACACATATAATTTTGTAAAATGATACCATCAAAAAGTGAGAGCTTACATGCCTTCAGTCGAAGTTGAAGCCGCTAGAAGCTGACCCTATCCAAAGCTGAACCGTGGTTGAGAAGCATCACCTGGCGGCATTAAATCTTTCTTCAACCGATATGTTTCAAGAATCTTTGATGCCTTCTCATAAATCTCCCATTTATCACGACTTCGAAGGTTCTTAATGTTTTCCACCACCTCAGCAACATCATTGATCATTTGAACAGAGAGATTTACACCTCCTGTACGATCCAAATTCTTCTCATCTTCTCCAGCCTTCAAGATGTTTTCAGGCCCTTCCAAACAGACAGTCCCAATCCTTGGGTCAGGACAAGCAAGAAGATCACACAATTGCTTGATACACCCTTGACTCACTAGGTACCTGTCACCAACAAATAAAATTAAACCTTTGTATTGAAATATGCAATAATACCATTAAGAACAGTTACAAAATCTTTATATGAATATCATACTTTCTTTGTTTGTGAGTGCAACCGAAGCTAGCATTCAAGATTGCCCGTGCAGCCTCCAATTTGAGATCAAACTCCGCATATTGAAGCAGATGGACCAGAGGACCAATAATATTAGCCTCAATCACAGCCTGCAGAATTTCAAAAATCATCCATAAACCATATACATAGAAATGAATGAAATGACACAATAGAACACTTTCTCATGGACAACCAGTTTCAATTACATAAACCGATCAATGCCAAAATTATAGCCAACAAGATGACACTTAAAAAAGAGATTCATACATCTGTTGCTTACCTGAATATGCTCCTTGTTGCCGGCTGCGATGTTTGAGATGGCCCAACAAGCTTTCTTCTTAATGCTCTTCTTGTAATTACTTGTCAACAGATTCAGAAGACGGGGTAGTACTTGATGGTTGATGATACACTAGAGGCATTGCAAGGATACTCAATTAGATTGGATAGAAACTTCACATACCATGAAACTGAATTTATTCGCTGAAATTGATCAATGAAAAAAGTAATAAGTTAATAACATAGAATCACCGAAGGTCATTAGGATCGGCATCCTATGTTAGATCAATGGAGGGATATATAATACGAAATTGTAGGATTGATAAAGGATTGTACAATCTTATAAAATAAATATGGAAAATGAAAACTATCTATAGGCAAAGATATCTTAACATAGACACAGAACAAGCCTAAAGCACAAAATATATAGATTTGGAATTGCAAACATATGGAATGTATGAATTTAATCCACTCTAACAAATTTTAGAATGTAGCCCAAAAGGTATATCCCAACATCGCAACATTAAAGTTGTAAGCTTGTGCATGTGATTTCAACTTCAAAACCTTCTCGGGTTTTTTTTTTTTCTCTTACAAAAATCAATATTTTATAATACCAAAATTACTTTTTAACAAAAAGAAATCAAGATAATCTTTTAAGTTTTAACACAATATAGCAAATACCAAAATAATATGACATAACAACAAACACTTCATTATTAAATTCTATACCCATGAACGATCATCCTATGGAAATCCCACTATGATCATATGAAGATCCTACAGAATATGATCATATCTCTTTGCTTTTTTTTATATGATCAGGATCATTTAACAATTTTGGATTGTACAATATTACAATCCTGATTGGGGTTTGATAACCATGAAATCGTCATAAGAAAATAAATTAACAAGATTTCAATAAGGCAATATTACACTTGTGAAAATAAACACAATCAGAATTCTGAAAAATATCCAGCCTAGCAACATGCCAAAATTTGGTTTTTACATGTATACGATTTGTGAGAAAATGCAAGAAATAGCATTTGATGTAGAACATATCCTATCAGGTATAATCTAATAATGTTTACCACAAGATATAACAAAGGACACGTGTACAACATTCAAAAATTGTTGACAGTAGGGTTTCTGAACTCCAACCTTATTTGTGAGTATTTATCCAGATGAAGGGTTCACATTTTCAAATCAATTAAAAGAAAAGCAACAGTGTCACAATTTATCACCCAAGACAGTTCACACAATTGACTGTGTGCGGTTCTCACAAACCTATTCACCTCCCCCCTCTATACTTTAAGTCACCGGTCACACACTGACATATTAGAGCCTTGGAACACGATCTTGCATTGTATCACTATTTTAATTTTTTCAACAAGAAAACCAACCTCAAGATTTTTTAAGTTTCACAACCTCACAAACCTCTTCCACTAACGCCACACACATAATTTACGAAATTTCAGTATCTTATCACCTTTCAATCAAAACTTCAGCAATTTCCTATCTCTGAAGCCTACCACTTTATAGAGTGTAAACCTACAAATTACCCATTTCAACACTCCACAACGACACCTTGTATCAAATTCCCTCAAAAGCTTGAAGTAGTTTAAACAAGTATTTAACTGCCGAATTCGGAACATCAGCCACTGATCATGCACATCATTTGATATAAAAATGTTACAAGATAACAGTTAACAAGAAATCACGATAACAGAGAAAATTCAAGTGAATTTTGGAATTGAAAATTGAATGAAAATGCAAAATAAAGAGCAAAAGTAATCAAAAGGGATAATGAAAAAAAAATATTATAAAGATGTTTACAAATAATATGAATTAGAATCCTTCTCCCAAACCCACCCCCATCCTCAAAGGGGATTTTTTCAGCGCATGATATATTTTCTTCTTATAGTAGCCCTGGCTATTTCCAACATAAAAGCAATGACTCGACAGAACCAAACTGTCCATTAAGCTTTAATGAATGGCGTTATTCAACACCTCAATCAGTATCAACCAATCACCCAAATGTGAATTAAAGCCACTGATATAGCTCCTGACTTGCAGTAACCCTAACCAGTTCAAAGCAATAACTTGACAAAACTAAACTATACATCAAGCTCTAATTCAGTGTTATTCTGCACCTCCATTCTGTGCTTCAGTTGGCAGGTGCAGAAGTCATATTGGAGGATACATTTTCAATGCATAAAACATTCAAAAGAGCCAAAAAAAAGAATTATGATGACGTGCTCAAAGTATATGCTACCACAAGAACACCTTGGTTGTTTTTCATAAACCCAAAAAAGGGCCATAGAAACAGACACACACACATTCAGACCTAAAAGCTAATACCAAATCAAAATAAAATGTCACAACTAGTTTCACAAATATATATATTTTTTAAAATCAAATAAATTTAAGAAAACTAGAATTAGAGCAACTGGCTTGTTCATGTTTGAAAAATATGTTATTCTCATAAATCATACATATAAAGCATGAAAACATAGCATCACATGATTTTTTATGAAAAAAACAAACAAAATTTAGATTGAACAAATATGCATCATATAAACTTAAAATGAAAAAGAAATTGATACATGTATGATTAAAAATCCTGCACCTGCGTTTGCATATCATCTCCAGTGAGAATGTTTCCAATTGTACGAAGAGCCGGAGAGACCACTAAAGGAGATGGGTGACTGAGAATTCCAAAATAAAGAAAATATCAATCTTAGGATGGACAAAAAATAATAGGAAAGCCATAAAACCCACAACAAGAAGTACCCAAAAACTATATAAAACTAAATAGAATTCTCACTGTAAAAGCGCAACTAGCCGGGGGCACACTCCCGCTTCAATAACAGCTTGAATTTCATCATTTGTGCCATCCGAAAGATGTGAGAGAGCCCAACATGCATTAATCAACACTTCATCATCATTTGAGTGAATCAAACGCAGAAGAGCTGAAAGGGCTAGTTTTGTCTGTTCAATAAAATTTAAAGATGAAAACAAGAAATTGCATATTTAAACTCATAATGTCAAAAAAAATGTCTATGAATGATACATTTGTAGTAAAAACAACCATTAAGGTAGAGACCGATTTTGATTTTTGAAATAAATCGTACTTGGTGAAATTCACAGGATGTTCTCTAAACATGATTCAAAAAACTTAGATTCGGTCTTCTCTTCTGAAAATAATACTTGTGTTCAATTGATTATGCCAAAATAAAAGAAATACACAGCCATAAAAGGAGAAGCAGTCATCTAAACACGATCAACAAAGCAAAATTGTTTTCTATCTATAAATTTTCCACTTGCCCAGGGAAAAAAATTTATTTTCTTTTCTGAAAAATAATAGTCATGTTAAATTGATTATGCCAAAATGCATACTTTATATGGGCACACAGCCATAAAAGTAGATGTTTTCCTAACATAAATCAATAACCTTTTCCTTTTAAAAATAACAGTTACCCTAATTTTTTGAGAAAGATAATATAGTTAAAAATTGAAATGGACACATTCTCTAAATGATTGAAGTATCATCAATTAAAGATAAAACTGCAAAACCAATTAAGATGGTTCAACCATGTTCAAGACGGCCAATGAAAAGTGATTTGATCCTTATTGAGGGTGATTTTAGAGGAAGGGGAAGACCAAAACTAACATGAATTAAAAGATAGTTAGATAATATATGATAACACGTTGTTTAATTGAGGTTAAGGCTTCATAGCGGAGTGGCAAAACAGGATTAATGTAGCCAACCAAATAGTTGAGGATAGGTTTTATGAGTTGAGTTGAGTACGATAGTTATGTCAAATTTTTAATTCCAAAAAACTATTTCCATACAAAATGTGTTCTATAAAAATGCTTAATTGGATGAACTATACAAGTAAACCAGCCCACAGCCTATCATGATCTGACATGTAAGTCCCTAAAACATGAGATAGAAGTGGAAACAGCAGATCAGAAAGACCAACCTGATCAAAAGGCGGTTGCGGCTTGCCCCCACATAGATTCGAAAGTGCCCAGGTAGCACTTCTCATTATAGAAAGATTGCCATGCTCAATTAATTGTGTTTGTGCCAGCAAAGGAAGCAATCCACCAAGGCGAAGGACAAAGTCGCGACATTTTGGGGAATTATCGGCAACATTTCCCAAGAAACATACAGCCTGCATGTCCAAAATGGAGGAGGAACCACACACCCATTATTTATATATATTGCAAATGTAAAACTATCTTACAGATAAATTCAATTAAAATTCAATGCATTAACTAAAAGCATATCAATTATAATAATTACAAAATATTAGATGATTAGATAAGCAATAGTCTATGATTTCTAACAATTATGTACCTTCTCGCGAACATCATGGTCAGAAGAGCCAAGAAGTCTTACAAAAATTGGGATGGCCACGTATAATATTGCTACCTTGATATTCTCAGATGTCCAAGCAGCAATGTTTGTGAGGCACCAAGCCGCAACAAACTATAGAAAACAGTGAAGATTGAAAACATAAAATTGCATCAATACAGAGACTTAAAAAGAAAGGTCAGATAACGGATAATAGCATGCCAGACCTGAAGTTGTGGGGAGTCCACCCTCATAAGAAACTCAACAAAACGTGGAACAACACCACATTTTATAACTTCTTCAACCGGAAGACAATCCTCTGATTAAAAACTAACGTTAAAATTCATGCATCTCCTAACCATAAAACATGTAAATGAACAAAATACACTATAATAAGGACCAATTGTCACCTGTTGATAGCAAATTCCGGAATTGGGTAGTCATCTCGAGCTGCAGGTGGACCTCATTGGACCAAACACCCTCAACCATTGCAGGTAGCTGTTCCAACTGCAACAGAAATTACCATTCACAGTGACAGGAAAATCACAAATTGAAAAGAAAAAAAACACCGAATTTTTCCAAACAAGCAAAGTAACAGCAACAATTAACTCAACAAACCCTCAATATGACAAAATATCAACCACAATAATCAAGAGTAAGCAAAAAAATTTGGTGCAATTGCTTATATGAAGTTACTTAACATATTCTTAAAAATGATTTACATAGTATTCTCAAATAACAATGGCCCTAAGGATTCATAATTAACTGAATAACAGTAATTGCGTGCATACTGAACCTCGGGATCACAAACATCAGTCAGTAAATCTGATTCAACAGCACATACTCTAAACCTGATTCGTTATCAAAAGTACAGAGACGGTCTGGTTCAGTTTTCTTAAAACAGTTCTCAAGAACAAAATAGAAATCTGTTTTGAGAGAACTATAAAAGACAACCAAACAGATTTTTGCACAATTTTCTGATTTTCATTTCTCTGAAATTTTTGTAACTGAAATCATTTTATACAATTTTCTGATTTTTCAGTCCTGTTCCAACTGCAACAAAAATTACCATTCACAGTGACAGAGAAATCACAAATTGAAGAACATTCGTCGATGTTTTCCAAACAGGCTAAGTAACAACTCAACAAACCCTAAATTTGACAAAATATAAACCACAATAATTGATCAACAGCATAGACTCTAAATTTACCTAATTCATTATCAAAAGCAAAGCCTCTTAAATTCTAATCATATTGTTACGTACCATCTTATCCTTTCGCAGAGCCATTTTGAGCTTCGGAAATGAATTAACGGCTATTGATTGGCTTCTTCTCCAAGCTCTCTTCGCTTCTTCTGCAAGCAACTTTTGGGGGTTTTTCAAGGAAAAAGTGCGCTAAACACCCCTGTTTGATTTGTTTTAAATCCTCTAATTTTTAATGTGGTCGTAACTAGTCGTAAGTGGGAGTGAGACCAAATTACATAAAAATCCTATAACAATTAAAATCATTATTATAATTCTTATTTACCTTGTGACAGGTGAGATTAAGTGGATAGGTGTTGGAAGTAAAGATTTGTCTTTGTATCGGAACCGAATTAAAGATTGATTGAGTACTCATATATGGATTGTGTGTTAGTCTCATTTTTTTTGAGTCGAATCGCAAAGCACCCGTCTTTGACATCAGTGCCAAAATGTTACAGAAACTAACACATTTATCTTTTGAATTATATCATAAATTATAATTTACAAATGATTTATGGAATCATTAAATCGGATCATATCACAAATTTTTCTTATTTTACCGTGCTAATTTAATCTCAAAATTGACATGCGACAAACTCATTATTATAGAGGTCTGAAATCATCATGACAAAAATTTATTATGGCCGTTTAGTAATGTCCTCATTCAACAAAAAGCAATTTTAGCACTTAAAAGTCTAATAAAACAATTTGACATAAATTTCCTATTTTAAGTTGATAAATAAAAGGTATTATGCATTTTAAAGTGTAGTTAACTAATAAATCCAAAGTTAATAATTGAAAATTTGTAAAATATTCAATTGTATGTTCTTCAACAATTGAAAGCCAATCCGAAGTTATTAAATTTAAAATTGTCAAATTTTCAAGAGTGAATTTTTAAAAAATTCAAAGCAACTTGAATATTTCAGGATTTTTTTTATTAAAAAAAAAAAAAAAGCAAATTGAATATTGGTTTTATTAGTTTTTTAAATTTGTTTGTCTGAATCAAAACTAAATTTCAAATAATACATAAAAGTTTTTTTTCAAATTTACTGGTAAGGGATTCAATTCCAATGAATTCATTTTCAGTTAACAAAATTTAATTTCTCAAATGATTATTATTATTATTTGGTAAGCGCCTCATTTTCATATTCATATGTCAGTCTTTTACATTGATTAATTGATTATTTCATTTAATAAAAGTAACTTAAAATAAAGTAACCCTATTAAAACTGAAATAAATAAATAAATGTTACAAAAAAGTGACCAATAATTAATTTTTACTTGTAAAAGAATTTCCTTTTTTTTTTTTTTTACAAGGAAAAAACTTCCACAGCGCAAATTAGCTCGCAATCTTTCTCAGCAGCAACACAATGGCGACCAATCTGGCAACCACCGTCAACCCCGTCGCGAACCACCTCTTCGCCGCCGTTGACATGGGAACCAACTCCTTCAAGCTCCTTATCGTCCGCACCGACCCCGCCACCGGCAAATTCATGGCCATCGACCGCCTCAAGGAGCCAGTCGTTCTCGGCCGCGAAATCCCCGCCTCCGCCACCATCTCTGCCGCCTCCCAACTCCGTGCCATCGAAGCCCTCTCCAAATTCCAACAAATCCTTCACTCGCACCGCATTTCCCCAACCCAGACCCGCCTCGTCGCCACCTCCGCCGTCCGCGAAGCCACAAATCAAACCGAATTCCTTCACAAAATTCAACAAGCGCTAGGGTTTGAAATCGACGTATTGTCTGGTGAAGAAGAGGCCCGACTTGCATATGTAGGAGTTCTTCAATTTTACCCTGTTTTCAACAAAACAGTGTTGACGATCGATATCGGAGGTGGTTCGACTGAATTCGTGATCGGAAAAGAAGGTAAAGTCATATTCGGTACTTCATTGAAATTAGGGCACGTAACTCTAACTGAAGAATTTGTGAAAAGTAACGAAATATCAAAATTGAGAGAGCACATTCGAAGTAGTATTCGAGAATCTGGGTTGATTGAGAGTGTTGCTGAACTTGGGTTTGATGTGGCTATTGGTTCATCCGGTACGATTCGTTGGATTGAAAAAGCAGTTTTCCTTGGATATGGTCGCAATTTGATGGACAATGCTGGGTTTTTCGAAGGGTATAGGAGAGATTGGAGTTTCAATAAGGAAGAATTGAGTGAGCTTGTTGAGAGGTTGTGTGACAAAGATCAGGGATTGGAAGGGAAGGTCAGGAGAGATGGGTTTTTCAAAAGGCGGTCGGAGTTCATTGTGGCGGGTGCAGTTTTGTTGGAAGAGATATTTGGGATGCTTGGCATTGATGAAATGGAGGTTTCTGGGTATGCATTAGGAGAGGGTGTGATTGCAGAAAATTTGGCTGAGGTTTTTGATGGATATGATTTGAATGCGAATGCTCGGTGGCAGTCGGTTCTTCGTGTTGCAAGGAGGTTTAATAACAAGAAGAGGATGAAAAATGGTGCAGTATGTGTCAGCATTGCAAAGGTATACCCTTGTTTAGTGTTATAGATCATTTGAAGTTGTTGCTAGGTTTCTGAAGGTTATATTGCTAATGATTTACGTAGAAAATGGAAAAGTTGGCTTTTAAATTCTGTTACTGATTGGTACTGACAGGAGATTTTTGAAGGTGTGAGGAAATGGAACATGCTTGCTGATCATCAAAATGAACTCCCGGTTTCCTTGGATGATAAGGATCTCGAATGTCTTGAAGCTGCTTGTTTGCTTCACAATATTGGGCTGTTCGGTGGCAAGAAGGGCTACCACAGGCAGTCTTCCCATATTATCATGGTATGTGCACCTTGATATTGGCTTTGATTGAATACTTTTAGAATTATCATAGACGTAATGTAGCATTATTTAGCATTTGTATATACTTTGGAAACTAATAGTTAGCTAATACATTATTGTGAAAATTGAAAAGAATTGGCGGACTTGGAAAATTTATAAAATAAATTGAAGAGTTGTTGTTGTTGAAGAAGTATCAAAAGTAGTGTTGCATGGTAGGGGAAGAAATATATTATTCTGTTTACATCGAGTGGTAGTAGTTTAACATTTTCTTGAATTCTGCTCGTAATTTGGGAGTTTTGAGTATTTTTTTGACTGTTGTAAATTATTAGCACATTATTGAATTATGGACTACAGAATGAGTCATTACGGAAGGAGTAAGTTAATATTTAAGATTTATTCTCCTCAAAAGTTTGGATGTTTTGGATGGATGAATACCAATGAATATGCTTTATGAATTATCTAGATGGCTATGAAATCTCTCAGTATCTTCCATTTCATGAAGAACAGTTCTCATTGCTTTTCTCTTGATGATTTGCAGTACGGTGGTCATCTTCATGGTTATAGCACCGAGGAGGTTGAGGTATATCTTCTAATTTGTTATTGTATTTTGTCCTTAATAGTGAAATTTATGAGGTCGCTCATTGCTAATGGTTTTTTAGCTAGTTTTCAGTTAATTGCATTACTTGTTAGGCATCACAGAAAGAAATTCCCAAAATTGCATGGTGCTAGTCTTCAGAGATCTGCAAAAGAGGTAGCTTACAATGTCTTTGGCAACACAGTCATTTTTTGCAGTACAAGAGAGAATATTTTTTTGGACTCTCTACTTAAATGAATGTACGTTCATGATAGTTTCAGGTAAAGCAGAAATTCAGAATACTTTGTGCAATTTTACGCATATCTGTTCTGTTACAGCAGTATCAATCTGAAATTCAACCCATGGAATTTTCACATTCTGATGAAGGCTTCAAGCTGGTATGTTTCAAACTGAGTGTAAATGGCTACTTAATAATTGATGTTCGTCCCATAATGTTTAAATCCTTTAAATCTGGCTCAGTAGGGGTTTTAGCTGTTATATTTGCCCTATAATAAATACAAACAATGGAGTTTCTCATTACCTTTAATTTTCTAAGGTCAAATTTGTTTATAATAATTCTTTTTTAATGATTAGATCTTTTAAATTTAATAATCATGAGATTGTCAGCTTATTTTTCCCAAAATATTTGCTCTTTAAAGAAGAGGGCAAAAGAGCAATAGTATTTTTTTTTCCAGTATTTTACCAAATTTCGCAGTTTTTATTTATTGAAATTATTGAAAAGGTTTATTCCCTCAAGAAAGGGCTGAACTCTTCCGTCTTCTCGTTCAAATCAAGTTTTCCCTGTTAAATCTTGGACATACTCTATACAACTTTCTACCAAGATTAACAAGGATTGTTTGGATTATTTAAGAAGCATAAGGTGTATAACTGGCAAAATTTGTTAATTCTTTGTCCAGAATTTCAGAAAATTCTCTTTCTTTTATCCTTTCCGAATGTCAAACTTTTGCTGAGTTTTTCTATTGCTAGCTGAGTATTTCTTAATGATCAAGTTGGTATAGAGGGCTTACTATATGGCATCATGTGGTTTGTGTTAAATAAGGACCCAATTTCTAGGGAGCTTGAGAGGTACTGTTTGGTACCCATCAAATATTGCAATGCTTAGCTTCAAACATAAGGATTAGCACATGGCAAGCAGCGTATCCCATCTGTTACTGATGACTAGTAGTTCATAACCCGCCATGTCATAGGTGGCAGCTTGTCATTTCTATAACTATTTTTTTTTTGATAAGTGTGATTTCTATAATTATTCCTCCTTCCCACCCCTAAATAAGTAACTGTTAAGGCTCTCAAAGTTTATTAAGTTCTGGTTTTATTTTATGGCCTAGAATTCTCAATCAAACCTAACCCCCCCGCGCGGCAATGGTGGGAGCCTCGTGCACTGGGCTATACTTTGCAATGATAATCAGTTGTACTTGATATGCTAAGTGCGACTTATATTAGATGCCCACCAAAAGGGTCTTGGGTTTCCTAATCTGTGCTGAAAGGACAACATTGGAGTTAATTTTGTGGCCTTTTAGTTGCTAACAGGACAAATTAGGAGATTGTGATGGAAGGACCCAGTGTTCATTGTAATGAGTTTGTGCATATCCGCAGCTAGGGTGTTATGACTACATACTCCAAGAGCCTTGGCGACTTGACTGGGAGGAAATTGAGCAGGTGCCCCTCTAGGCCTTGACTATTTCACCCCTTCTTCTCTTAGAATAACAAAAGTAAGAAAAATAAGGAGAGTCACAACTTTCTCAACCCAACTTAGCAAATCTTTTTTTCAACTATTTAGTGTCAATTACATGAATATTGTTTTGCCATTCCAATCTAAAGCCACATTCTCAATCAAATTACATGCCATCATATCTTTTATTGTTAGCTCACCCATGTTAATAATTTCTTTATTTTGTAAAATTAGAGAATTTGATTATAATGAGAATTCTCTCTCTCTCTCTCTTATAATTTTTAATGTTATTATAGGGAATGAAAATGTCCTTGTGCTAAATTGCTAATGACATAAACCATTGTATTTCCTTTTGGTGTTTTAAGCCACATTGTGGAGGTAAGAAATGACAATTGTAATTGGCATAGAGAAAATGATATTTGTAATGACATTAGTTACTGATTTCATACCATTTCATTTTTTTCTGTCACCACTAGTTAGCTAAATCTTGGCTGGTGTTGAGGCAATAAGTTGTAGATATTCTTTTGTGAGAACTGGTTGTTGCACTAACCAGAAGGTATTTATAGGTACTCAGTAAGATGAAAGTTGAGCCTCTGCCAGCTGGTCTCGCACAGCCTTTAACCGAGGATGTTGAGGAAGAACTAAGGAAAGATTTGGAACACTTTAGACAGGTAATTCTTTTAGTTGATGCTTTATTAGTATGAAAGAATTTGCAAGTATTTCATCTTTGTAGCGTCTTGAATACATTCCTCTTCAGGTATTCCAGCAAAAGTTGTCAGTTGTAGTTCCTTTAAGCACTTCAGAATCGTCAGAGATGTAACAAGATACATAGTTACCTCCACTCTGTTAAGGTTTTCAACCCATCGATTAGGCCCCATCTAAAGCTCGGGGTTTTACCACCTTGTTAAAAACAATAGAGTGGGTATGCGTTTTATGTTATTTTCATTATGTAAACATCTTGATTGTGTTGACAGTAACAATAGTTTACCTGTATTATATTTTGATCTGATAGAGAAATTTTCATTTATTATCAACTCTATGCAAGGACCAACGTGTATTTTTCTTTGTGAATATTTGGCTAGTTTAAGATCTATGACAAGGACTCTCTCTCTCTCTGGTATTGTGGTGGCAGAACTGTTTTGAACGTCCAAGTCTATCAGGAAACATACCCTAAATGGTCTAAACTAACTTGTTGAAAATTAATGGTAAGTTGTTTTTATTAAATTTTATTATTATTTTATCCGTAAAAGAATAAATAAAAAAATAGTAAAAAATAAGAAATATTATTTCCATCCAAACAAACGGTAAAGTTAAATACTTTGTATGTGGCTCCTCTTTATAGGAGTGTCTCTGCTTGTCAGAGTGATCTCATTTCCCCTGTTGATTTCTACTGTTTTCTTCCTCCTTCCCCTCTCTCATCTTCTGTTCTTTCACTTGCTTTTGTGCTCGTTTCTTTTCTGATTTCTCTTGATCAAATTGGGACTTGGGTTTATCATTTTTAGGGTTTCATGATCATCCATCTGGATTCTTGGGGGGAAATCAGTGAGAATCGGTTTTGATTTGCTTGGATTTTGCGAGCGTTGGATCTTGCGCCTCTATTGGGGTTGTTGGTGGCGATCTCTTCTGTGCCCACGTTTTGTTTTTCACCGATAACGTCTGTGGTTCGCTTCGCACACTCTTTGGCTGGCATCGGGTCACCTGTGTTGTGATCTTGTGTTGTGTGATTTCTTGTTTTGTGTTAGTGCTTTTGATCTTGTATCTCATCATGTCTGTTGTCTGTGGATTTTCTCGATTCCGACTAGCCCTTGGTAACTTAATTATATTTTGGAAGATTTGGTGGTGCACTATACCTTTGGTTAATATCTTTGCTTATGTATATTTGTTTTTCTTTGTCTGTGGAATTAATATATTATCCTGGTATCGTGGATTGGGGGTTTGTTTTGCTGTTATCCTGGGTGTTCCTATGCTCTGTTCCTTTTTTATTTTGGGTTTTGTGTGTGTGGGGTTATGTAGGTGCTACGGAGTACGGTGTGCTCCAGATCAAGGCTTTCAACGACCAGAATGTTTTATAGCCGGGGATGGATCTGTTTGATCGGGTCTTTGTGGCATTCGTCCTTATGGATTTTTTTGAGTTTGGAGCATGAATATCTTATAAATACTCTGGATGCTTTGTGTACAGGGCAGGATTAGCGTGCTTTGCTCCTTCTTCAGGAGTCTGACGGCCGTTCTGGGTACAGTTCGGCGGTTGTTGACTGTCGGCTAAAGTGGTTGGGATATGAATTTTCGGTTGGGGTAGGCATGACGTCATGGATGATGTCTTGGAAGCGTTCTCTGGAAATTTTCTTTGGGTGTTGGGTGGGCCAGGGTCACGTGCGATGTGGCGCTACGTGTATGGCGGTGATTTTTCACTCCTTTTTTTGGCACGTTTATGGTGGTGTTTTCGTTGACGTCTTGGAAGTGTATCGTAAACGTTTCTCAGGGGCGTTATGCGTTATGGACACGTGTACCCTCAAGCCCTATGTTTGTTGCTAATCCTTATTATGATCCTGGTGTTTCATATCCCAAGGGAGGCTTCCATTTTTTATTTGTTTTGTGTGGCCAGGGTAATACAACGTATTAATACGTTTCTGTCCCCTAGTATTATCGCTAAGTCATCGACTGGGATTATGTGGGTCCTTGATTTTCAGATTATAAGTTCGGCTTTTATTGTGTGGGGGTTCCTCAATGCTTTTGCTACTCAATTTGTGTTTATGGAGGGATAGCCAGTGCAGCCTTGCTGACACTTTCTAAAGCTTTGGTTGTTCTCAAGACTTAGATCTTGAGCTAGCTTGGTGTTAGGTTGGTTGTATAGGGTTGTTTATTTGGTTTTGTTGCTTAAACCTTTGTGGGACTGTTATGGTTGTTTATGCATCTTCTTTGTAAGTGTCGTAATACTTTGTATGTGTGGTGGGCCTAAGTTGTATATACACATATAATGCAAAAGGCAAGAGGCATTGTGTTAGCCCCTTGACGGTTGTCCAAGGGAAGACATGGGCATTTCAAGGCCATGCCATGTCTTGGGAATACTTTGGCTTTGGTTAGACATCCATGAGGATTGCTCAGGGGGTTGTCAGCGTGCACAAGATGCTCAGCGTGCACACAAGATGCTTAAAAGGATGCTCGGCGTGCACTGGGGGTGCCCAGTGGCACTTTCGTAAATATGGCGAAAAGTGAAACTTGGAGTTTTGACTCGGGATCTTTATGGGAGGTACCTTGAGTCCATAGAAGCTGGTTGGTGCAGACGGCACTCAATTTGGATGTCAAGAAAGGCCTGAAAGGCCATTATGACTCTTCAAGCATGGGTGATGTTTACTCCTGTCAGAGTGCTGGATTTCCTTAAGACTATATTAGGGGGGGTCTGTTGAGCACATCGGTTGGGCTATGGCATGGCTTGCTTAGAGGGCTTAGCCAACGTGCATGGGCATGTGTTGCACCACTCCAAGATGGTTGCACAAGTATGGAGCATCCAAGATATTGAAGGGCAAACAAGTGGGCACCGACACGCGCGCTGGTGTGCAGCGGCGGGCGTGCGGGCATGCAGGTGGGCGCGCGGGTAGGCATCCAACCTAGTGTGCGCGAGCGTCTAGCTCGGCGTGCGCATGGGCGTCCAGGTGGGTTTACAGCCACGGGCGCATGAGGGTTCAAACATGGCGCGTGAAGAAGGGCACTAGTGTGTGCATCGGCGTGCACTTTGGTGTGCACCCGAGCATGTGCACGGGCGTGCATGGCTTGGCACGCCGTGCACTCAGAGACATATATATGTGGGTGCAGATTGGTGGACTTGGCTTGGGCTAGGTTCACAAGGTTGACTCAGATGTGGCTAGAGCATGGACAACACAAAGTCATGGCTTGCGGTTACAAGAGGTGGTGGCTTAGTGGGCTCGGTCGGTTGGGGGAAGTTACTAGCACTTCCCACTCATCATGGGAAGTGGGGGAGTGCTGAGTAATTTATGTGGCACAATTCTGAAAGGACCAACACACAGGCGGTTCAGGGTGGTTTCCTCCACTATGCAGAATGTAACTTCTTGTGGTTATGTGGCATGAGCAGAACATGCCAACAAGTCTAGCAGTTGGGCTTGTCAACTGCATTATAGTGCTGGCACATTTAGAGGGTGCCAGCACGACCCTAGGTGGATGGGGGTGTCATCCATTATCTTAGTGGGCAGTTATGGGCGGTTTTGAGAGTGGCCTATATAATGCTAAGGTGGGCTTTGTAGAGGGGACAGAGAAGAGGGTGTGAGCCTTGGTTGTTCCTTGTACGAACTCATGTTCCTTTGTAATATGTTTAATATGAGCAAAGGTTGGGGCTTGTCCCTGTAAACTGTGTGTGCCTTCTTTACATTTCTATACTGTATGTATTGTGTTATTGTGTTGGCTGAGACTTGGTGGCCCCGAGTGCCATTGTAGAGGCAAAAATTCGTGGTGTAATTTAGCCCTGTGACACATTGCATAGTTAATTAAACACCAATAATGGAGAATCTGAATCCGGCACTCACCGCCCAACCCCAGCCACCACCGATCTTTCCCAGCCCCAGCGGCGGCCGACCGTGCCCTTTACGGTGCGCCCAACCCTAATCCATTTTTTTATTATTATTTTTTTCTTTTCTTTCTTGTTATGAATACATACAATCAATTTATTTTAGGTTTGGACTTTCGACTGTGAATGCGGGAATTTGATTAAAGTCAAGATGCCGAATGGGTTGTTTGTTTTTACGTGTGATGTTTGTGGGGTGACTACTACTTTGAAAGGTATGTTTCTAGTACAGATCGAGGTGATGCAATTTTCTTTTTTCCGTCTTGTTTTGTTTTATTGTTGATTACTTTATTTATTTATTTATTTTTTTTAATTTTTTCTTACAGTTCTTGCATCCTAGTATAAGATTTTTATTGTCTATAAGAAAGTATATACATACCCTTCTATCGCCAAACACCACCCTATTCTATATTTTATTAAATACGAGTAATATTTTAGCTTTCATATCACTTTTTTTTTTTTTTTTTTTGGGAAAGTAAGAGTGATATTATATAGGGTAATTTACACTGACCTCCCCTATGGTTGCACTCTTCCTGTTCCGGAAATTACGCGGACCTCCCTTACTTTTTAAAATATCCTACACGGACCTCCCTTCCATTACGGTCAACGCCAGTCAACGACTGAAAATGATGACATCAGCTATTATTTTTTATGAAATGCCAAAAATACCCTTCCCTATTTTCATATTATATTTAAAATTGTATATATATATATATATATATATATATATATATATATATATATATATATATATATATAATACACATATAGAACCGTATACACATATACATATTGGCTCCCAACGCGAGTGATTGGGATTGGGATTTACCTATCAAAGAGACAGAAAGTTTGGGATTTGATGGATTCTTTGAGTGATTGGAATTGGAATTCAGATTTCAAATCCATCTTTTTCTTATTTAATACTCCAATCCAACCTTAATTTGACAAAAACCTACACCATCGGCGACGTGATTTACGGCGATGATGGCAGTGACTCAGTGAGGTTTGGGGTTAAGGCGACAGTGTTGAGGTTTGGTTCATGGCAGCCGGCGATCATCTAGGCGACATGATTTACGACGACGTGATTTACGGCGATGGTGGCAATGACTCAGTGAGGTTTGGGGTTAAGGCGACAATGTTGAGGTTTGGTTCAAGGCAGCCGGCGATAATCTAGGCGACGTGATTTATAGCAATGGTGGCAGTGACTCGGTGAGGTTTGGGGTTAAGGCGACAGTGTTGAGGTTTAGTTCACGGCAGCCGGCGATAATCTTGGTTTGGGTTAGCAACGATGTTGATATATTGGTTCACGGCGGTGGTGATAATCTTGGTTTGGGTTTGTAATGGTGTTGGTTCACGGCGGCGAGATCTTCATCCGGGTTGGTGGTCAACTGTGGTGGAAATTCATTAATTGGTGGTCAACTGTGGTGGAAATTCATTAATATATATATATATATATATATATATATATATATATATATATATATATATCTTGGTCTGGGTTAGTGGTCGGCGATCATGCCTTCCTTTTACCACCATTGTTGTCACTT